CATGCGTGTGTGTGTATGTGTGTGTGTGTGTGTGTGTGTGTGTGTGTGTGTGTGTGTGTGTGTGTGTGTGTGTGTGTGTGTGTGTGTGTGTGTGTTGCATTCAGGCCACATGGCAGCAGATCAATAGTGCACCTCACTGAAGATATTGTGTATGTATGACTGAGTGCATGTGTGTGCAAGACCCAGAGAGGGAGTAGTGTGTGAGCAAAACGTGGAGAGGGTGTATGCTGGGTTGATTGGTTTTCTCAAAGCCATTTGAAGCTCTGAATGACTTGATCCCCAGTCGCTATCTCGAGTCTCCAACCTCAATCCCCTCTCCTCCCCAACACTACACAGCACAATGCAATTCATCTACTTCTTTCTCCCTCACCCCCTTTTTCACGCATGCTTACAGCCACCACTTGCTCATAAAAATGCATACTGTCCCTCTTTTCCTGTCTTCCTTTCGTCCAAACATTGATGTTGATGCTCTCTCCCTCTTCTCTCTACTCTCTCTGGCACACACACACACACACATTCATCTAAGTGCCAATAGCAAGTCCCTCTCACATACATATGTAGTACTAGTAGTAGTACAGTAGGAAATTCCTGTGGAGCATTACCACATACTGTATGATATATAAAAACCTGTATCTGTATCCTGGTAATATGCTAGTTCACATAGAAAAAACATGTGCCATTACACCACTAGCCAGGCACAATCCCACTTTCTTCTCACTCCTCTCTAAAGTTTCTCTTCATTTACTCATCTCCTTACTTTCCTCTATTCACTGCTCTACCACCTCTCAGCAACTCCTCTCTAGATTTTCCTTGCTCTACCTGCGACAGGATAAATCTCCTACATGTGAACAACAAAGTAGCAGGTTCAGCCACCCCTATGATTTGCAAAGCGAGGTGACGCTGGGAATTTGAGCAGGGTCTATTAAACCTTCTGGACCCGTAATTCTAAATTACTGCTTTGTTTTACAGTGAAGTGCCTCGCTTCAAAGCCCTGCTCTACTCCCCACAGCAGAATGCTTTGTCACCTTGTTTGCCACAACTGCAACTGTTTTAAATCCTCAAGGTGTAAAAATGCAAATCCCTGCACCTAAAGTAGCATTATGCTAATTGATGATGCATAATGCCTCAACAGTAAAGTATTTTAAATGCCTTCTAAGGTAACATGGTAATGTTTGAACGTGAACAGATGGGAAACCTGTTAGGCCAGTTCTGCATTGGGGTAAAATTTGTTAAATTATGCATAACCCTTTGTCACACGTTTTATTCATTCAAATCAATTTGCCTAAGGAACTGGTTTGCTGTTGATATGTTACAATAAATTATGCCTATGAGGATCGACTGCTACTGAGAAAGACTTTCAAAAGCGCATTTATGAATTGGCCAAGGGATAGTACCAGTATTTCTACCAGATGAGTGAGTTTAACTGACTTCCAATTACATGCGGTTGTGCATTTTGATTAGCTGAAACTACAAGACAGTAAAGAACACTTTTGAAACCATCATAACTAATACAGGAACAGGATGCTTCATTCAGTAGTTTATGAGCTCTGTGCTGCTGTATTCTGTTTAATATGTAATTATGGATGCTAAAAGATCATTTAGAGAGCTTTCTTTAAACACAACAAACTTTGACGTATGTGATTTGGAGCCTTATACCCCTCTCTGTGTATTGTATTGTAAGGACCAAAGCACACCACTGTGTTGTGAACAGCAGTAAATTCAGAGAGAAACATCTACTGTAACACATTGCCAAAACTGTCAGCAACACTTGTTAAAATTGTGACACTGTCATAATTACTACACTTTAGAAATCTTTAAAAAATGACTAGCAACTTAACATCAGAAAGATTTTTCAGAAGAATTTATTTTGTTGAATTATGTTTGTAGCACGGCACACATCTGCCAGCTCAATAACATTTGACTCAGTAAAAGCTTACTCACTCGCCAAAGTCTGAAAATCATGAGGCGCAGTAAATTCAACCTGACACAAAAATAAAATCTACAGATGGCTGGAAAGTAAAATATTATGTAGTGGCAATGGAAGGAAATATTTTAACAACACTGTAAGTTGGGCCTTTTCTGCTACAGAGGTAGTCCTCGTTTGAAAAGCTACTGACAAAATAAAAATATAATTAGAACTAAAAAAGAAGCATATAAAAGTAACTAAACTTGGCATGTCGAGATGAACTGTTACACTTAGAGAGGTGTGAATTATGGGAAATATTAAACCACGCAAAGGCTCATGTGTCATATATCTGTGCCACACAGCTGCTAAAAGCTTTAGAACTAGGACAAAATCTTTGCACTTAATATGGAGACACGCAGTGATTTTTATTCTTGCTATACATTTAAGAAAGATAGCAAAGCTGTCTCACTGCTGGAGACCCATTATATTCTCTACCAAGTTACCTGAATGTCATCTCGAGAAGAACGTGCAACAGTGCTGATGCTGGATCACTATATAAACTTAACAATGTGATCTTCATTTTCATTTAAATCAAAGGATTTGTCTATTATATAACTATTGACTATACTATTTTGATCATACTCCATGTGTGCTTTATGAAAACCTTCTGCTTCCATAAGTTGTAACCTAATTACTAAACTATTTGTTTTGTGTGTAGTAGTATATTTTACCTTGATTCATGCATGGACCACAGCTCAACAGATCCAAAAGTGATGAGCTTGGAGTTTCAGGTGGTGCTCCTTGTGCTTTCGTCTGTGTGTTTATATCAAAATGCACTAGGTGTAGAATTCCACTATGTCGTGCACTTGTTGTGCGCGTGTGACGCTGCCTCCCTCTCAGGAATAATTATGAGAAAGGAAGCAGCACCCGCAGTCAGCCACAAAGGTCTCTATGGCAACTGTAGAACCCCCATCCACCCCCAGCATTATAAATTAGGTCCTGACTCCTCCCACACAGCGTCCCTGCCCTTTCAGATACCTACACCGCTCTCACAGAGGTACACGTATGTATTTGAGTCTTTAACCTACAAAAAGAGGTTGGGGGGCTGGGAGCTATAGCCACAAGAGTTTTTTGAGTGAAACAATGTATATTGTCTATAGTGTACTCGTATTTTTCCCCCTTCTATATACATGCACCACAATACATTTTTACCAAGTTTTTCTTAAACTTAACAACATCAACAGTGGCAGCAACTACACCAACTCTATGCTCCAAACATGCTTCTTTCTGGTTACTAACAGGTAACAGGAAAAACTACTTGAGACAGTTTTTGGAACATGCTGGCTCTGTTTTTGAGTTATTTTCCAATGGTTTGGTCTGACAATGTTTTGCAGTGCTCCCTAGGTGCCAAAGTCAACATTAGACAGAGAAAACAATTTACCAACACCTGGAGGGATGTGACCTGTCTCCTAAAGTATCTCAGTGGGCAATATTTACTTGACTGTCACCTCAGCATTTGTTTCCCATTTTATTTTCAGGAACGTTTCATTAGGCAATTAATGCTAATTAGACAGCTGCACGCCAAGGAAAACAATGTAACAGCTCTGTGCATTTTCAGCTCTTGCTTTCTGTCTTACTACCAACACACAGCTGCATTTGAAATGTAAACTTGAGAAAAAAATGATATGCTTGCCAAGTCAATCCCACATGCATATACAGCATTAAGTAATATATACTGCAGATGGCCACTTTCTGTACATGCAAACATGTGTACACACAGATATGCACATGCACCTGTGTATTTGTGTTTGTACGCTCATATATGAGTCTCCGCTCTGTTTCAGTGTCCTTCAGCAAGGCACTAAACCCTAAAAAATCCAGAGGCACAACACAGTGGTGATAGCGGACTTCCCTCTGAAGGCAGACAAAAAAGGAAATCCCCCAACTGGGATCCAGAGAGCATCATTATCCAATAGTAAAGCCTCTGAGCCAATTTAAAACATAACCAAACTACAGAGAATTAAAAATGAAATAGCTAAATAAAAGGCAATTTCTTTAAAAACCCAAGTTACCTTGGTTGCACTGAAATCACTATTAAGAGTTTTTAATAATGTGACAGCTGGCAGTTTTTTCTGCAAGACAGGAAATAATGACCAGTATGACAAATTGCTGAGGAAATCAAGACCAGGTAGACTGTAGGGATCCAGCCTTAGAAAGTGCCCTTTGTCATTTCCACTTGTGTTCAAGTTTTCTATGTATAGTATGAACTTTAAGTCTTGATCAATCTGGCAATAAGGCAAAACACAGGCAACATTTTACAATACACAGGCAATAAATACGGGCTATAAATAAGCTATATCAGAGCTTTAAGTTAGATAGATCGCAGCCATGGCATTATCTAGTTTCACCGCTGTTAGTATCAGAACTAACAGCGGTATAGTTCTTTCTCCATTAAAGCTAAACTTTCCCACTTGCCACCATAAAGACACTGTGTGCTGTCTGTGTGTGATTGTCTGTCTGTGTCTGGAGATAAGGTCCAATCATTATAAAGTGGCCTATGGGCAGCTATTAACAGTGCTGTTTTTGGATGGGAGACAAAAGGCTATCAAATAGAGCTATGACCTTCTAGTTGAGAAGTAACACTCTCTCGCTCTTTCATTCTTTCTCTCCCCTTCCTCAATCAGCGAAGAAAAAGAAAAAAACTGAAATGAGTGGAACGAAAGAGTGGAAAAGGGGAGTGTGAATGGAAGCTGGTAAAAAGGTCACTCTCCCCTCCTCCGTCACTCCTGTGCATATTAAAATTCCACACACAGTAGCAATCTCCCCTCTTCCTCCTTTCTAAACTTACGGCTGCGGTTCATGTAGCCTAGGTATGGTTCAAATTTAGCTGAGATTCATTTCTGCCCCCCACCCTGCTTGTCTTGTCTGTCACTTTAATGAGAGTGGAAAGTCAACCACAAGTCAGGAGAGGAGCAGCAGCAGGGAGGGGGGGAGGGAGCAAGAACCGGAGGGCAAGAAAAAGAGTGGAAGGGAGAAAGCCAGGAAGGAAGACAGAGGAGACTGAGACGTCTCTGTTGATGAAAGTCACATGAGATGATGGCCGAGGGAGGGATACCTGATCCACTCTCTCTGCATGTGTGTACAAGAAAGAGAGAGCAAGGAAAAAGGAAAGAGAAGAAAGGAACACAGGTAACCAGAATGCCCCGATCATGTTAATTACTTTTTTTTACTCAAACAATGTGGGGTTTACTGTTACCTGCCAGAGGGCATGTGTGCTTATGTTCTTGTACTTGTGACACCTGGTTTTAGACGTTTGAGCCCATTCACTGCAACTTGGATCATATTCTCTGTGGTCTGGACATAGTTTCTATTGGTTAAAATACCACTGTATTCTGTGAAGTAAGATTTTGATCTGGGAAAACAGCAACTAAACAACAACTTTGCTAAAACAAAGTCCAACAGGATATAATCAAACAGGCTAAACAGTTTTACAATTCACTTTTTGTCTTCCAAAAATGACGATAAGATCCAATTTGTAATAAACAGGATTTATCCTTTGAAATAATAACTGTGTGTGTGTGTGTGTGTGTGTGTGTGTGTGTTTGCATGGATACGTGTGTGCCTCCATTGATTGTGTATCACTGTCCATGTGTGTGCATCTGTGTGTTGGTGTGTACACAGGTGCTCTAGCCATCTGGCAAATGGTGATACTAGACCAAGAAATATTACACAGCCTGGTCTGGCTTCATTCCGCATCAACTTTGCTCATTAACACCTATCTTTTTTCATAACACATGATTCATTATTGTTGTACACCAGGGATACTAGTCCTTCCTATTGCGGTGACGACTGGCCTTTTCCTTATCAGCCTGCTTCTAACAAAATTTAATTTAAATCAGCAGCAATACCTGAGGGCTGTTCTTTAATGTGATTATGGGTATGACAGTAATGCAATGGACAACACATCAGCAACGATAATAACAGTAAGGACATCCCTTAAAGGGATTACAGATCATAAACAACACAAATACACACACACAAAACCACACACACACAAAAATGACATCAATGCTACTAATACTACTCTTACTTCTACTGCGACTACTGCGACTACCAGTAATAACAAAACTGCTCTTGTGGCACAACAAACAAATAATTAATTGTGTCATTGACCTCACAGTACTGACTAGATCTATCAACAACTACAGGGGAGGCCAAACCAAACAACGATTAGGACACTGCTCTCAGGGCCGTATTTATCCTGGTTGGAGGACGCACAGATGGAGGGGGAAAATAACACAAATAAGAAGAGATTAAAGTTGAATTCTGTGGGATATTTCCAGCAATGTCTCCTGTGACCTCTGTTCAAGTAAGTGTGGTTTACTTTTAATGTAGAATATGGAGAATGTTTGTAAACCGCCTAACCAAAAAGTCTGCATACCAAAACTACAAATGACAGTGAAGCAGACAGACTTACTGTGTAACAGCAACTGTCACATCCTATCCTAAGACAACACAAGGGCTTTTAAAAATACAACAAACATCACAGAATTCAAGAGAAAATACATTCCGAGACGAAATTACCATCTTATTCCTGTAATTTCCACAGTTGAGTTCATTGGCAATGAGAGCAAATATCTCACAAAGACAGGGAATGGTGAGGAAAGACTGAATGATATTAAGACAGAAGCGCTGAAGCTGCTCCACAATAGTCGAAGTATTACTTTATGGATAAAGCCACATTACCCAAGGAACAGTGTAAAACTGGCAGTAATACAAAGACATGAAGTGCTTTTCAATGTCAAAGCTAAAATACATTCTGACATTTTCAGAAGTAGTTTTGCTGTCAATGCAGTGACTTTGGGGTTTGTGTGCTGATAAAGTCTGGGTTGTCTGGTTTCTGTTTTTTGAAGAGGGAGTCGATGTTGTATACAAATACTGCCTTAGCTCAGATCATAGAGGAAATCCCTTTCAATTCTGTTCTGATGCAAATTTTTGCTTAATTGACTCAAGGGGCTTGTATAGAAAAATAGCCTTAGAGAGCACATTTAACTACATGGAGATATGTAAAAAGGTCCTTTGTCACATTTGGGGATGGATGAGTCTCCTTTCATAACTGATGCTCATTTAAATTCTGTCTAGTGTGGACAGCTTTGGAGCCAATTATTACCATCTGAGTTTTGTGACTCATTATACTGGCAGTGTGTTTTACTAAGGAGGCAGCTGACAAGACATTTTGGCAAAAAATAGTTTCAGCCTCTACATATCTGTAAGTAGCTTATAACATACCCGCAGTTGATGGTCTTTTTTATAACTTACTTCATTTTTTCCTGCATGAAATGATCTAAAACCTGTCATAAGTAAAACACGTCATTATTAATTTAATTTGAGATATTAAAGTGTTGTTAAATTGTGAAGTTGTTCATTCTCGAAGGGGGACTTGTAATATTTGCTCAAAGCTGTGTAGAAAACTTCATAACCACCTCACATGCTCTGCTCTGAGTTTGGAGTATTTTTAGTTCCACTCAAACTTTCAGTGTGAGTCCTAGGAGTGATTCTAAGTTGTTTGATAAATATGAGCCCAGAATTAAAATATCTCTGGTCCAGGCAAAGAGGAATTCAGGAAAACAGCTTCAAAGACAGCCAAATCAAAGAGCCACATCACTAAACAGTTGAAAAATAATCTATTCATGAGGCTGGGATCAGGCTAATGGTTTGTCACTAGATGAAAAACACTGAAAATATTTGCCATACTTTTATGAATAAAACCTCCAAACATTGGTCTTGTTACTAGTTGAACCACTAGCAACGACCAGAAGAGGCAATCTGTTCGGATTTTGGATTCTAATGCTCCTTTAAAAAAACTGCACAAACCTGAAACGTATGACTGATAACAGCTGGGCCATAACAGTTTTATATGCATTATAAATATTCAACGCACAAACACAGCAATACTCTGACAGATCTCTCCCTCATTAAATTATTTAAGGGCTCAGTGGGCAAAATGAAATCATCTCTGTCTCCAATTTCACTCTCTCTCTCACTCTGTCACACTCTCTTCTCCTTGTTCCAGTATGTGTCCTTTTCATTGTGTGTGTGTGTGTGTGTGTGTGTGTGTGTGTGTGTGTGTGTGTGTGTGTGTGTGTGTGTGTGTGTGTGTGTGTGTGTGTGTGTGTGTGTGTGCGCGTGTGTGTGCGCACACAAGTACATGTGCGTGTGTGTGCGTGTTTCAACTTGTGCACTGCAAATAGGAAACCCTGAGCAGCCTGAGTAGGGGTTTGGATTTTTAAACAAACTAAGCGCGACGTCAGCTTGTTTAACACATACATGCGAACACACACACAGATACAACAAAATTCTTTCTGTCCTAATTACAGCCACATATTAGCATTGCTTTGGTCTGTCAAAGTTGCATGAGACTAGAAAAAATAACAGTGAATACTGAAAAAGAAAAGAAGAAGGAAAAGTTTGTTGATTTATCTTTAAACAAATACGAAAAAATTATTTTTTCTTGTTCTGCACTATAGCCATGTTTTAGTCTAGTTCACAATAGTAATGCACCCTTGACTTCACCGTCAGTTGACATAGCTGTCAAATCAAGGCATGTGTGTCTTACACATAATGTCCGGCTGTTTAGGGCTTTCACACATAATGCACATAAAGTAGACTTTGCTGTGTGTTTTACTTGCAAAATCGAATCCTTTTTTATTCTCTAAGCTGATTGTACATGTTGTTCACGCATAAACTCTGGCCTTTTTGAAAGTCTGGTACTTTTGAAAACCTACATATACAAATGACCACTGTCAAACCTCTGTAGCAGCAGACACATACTTCTAATTGGCAGTCCTGTGAAAAATTGCCTGAGTAGCAGCCTTTGTTAATGTCATTTGGTTCAGCCTATTTTGCCCAGCTCCTGAATGCCTGTGTGTGTTCACTGGTGCATGTTTGATTGAATGTGTGTGAACCTGTTGGTGAAGTGCTACAGTGATTAACTCATTCATGATTAACTGTCTAGAGTTACAGATTGTTTAGTTTTGACATGTGGAACGCAAACTAATCTCTATTTCTCTCTCTCTCTCTTTCTGAATACTGTGTAAAAGTTCTACTGTATTTAACTTGTGATGAATTGTCTAATTAGTGCGCATTATATAAGGAAGGCTATTCACTACACGGTTCCCACTGTAAATACTCTCATCCTTTTTCTCCCTTTTCTTTGCTCTCTGTTTAATAGCCAGTTCAATAATACCCACATAGGCAAGCAGACATGGACAAACATATTCTAGTCCCTTGATAAAACACTGTGCATGCACTTGATACACAAATATACACACGTGCAATACTGCACGGCAATGGAACAAAGCAGCACATAATTTGTTCTCTACTGTGCTAAAACAGCAGTACTTTATACAGAATAATATAGTCTGTATTTACAGATTAGTTGGGTTCTATAACTTTACTTTCCTGTTATCAACTGAACCATTTCTACTCCTTCCTGCTGGTATCAGGAATGATGGTGTGGTAATGAACATTGATTTAAAAAAAAATAAATGAATAAACCGCTTCTTTCATTTCCGTGACATTTATTGAGACCGCATTTATTGGTAGACTGAATAAATGTCACCAGTGAGAGAAGCACAAAGCACTTTCCATGTTGGTGGGTTTTTTTGTAGCTTAACCTCACTATCCGACAGCCATGATGTACTGTAGGTAGAACTTGATATCCAAGGAAAGAAATCAATGTGGGTTTTTTTGTTCTTTTTTTTTTTTTACTGTCAGAGAAGACAGTCAAAAGCCTGGACCTGGAACCTGCTGTCTTATAATGAACACAAAACTAGTACCCCTGTCACAGCAAAGAGACAGTGTGCTCTGATGAGGCCTACAGAATGATAGCATAACCATTAAATGTAAAAGCTGCATTGATTTAAGTGTGTGGGTGTTCTTCCTCGATAAAAGTTTTTTTTTACAACTCCAAAATCTGAACAATGCTCTTGCTGGATAAGAAGTTCTCCCTTGATTTAAAAACAAGCTTTAAAAACTTGCTCAATCAAGATCTTATTTGATACTTAATGATAATTGATAAGGTATCATTCATATAGTGAGAACTGCAGTAGCTACTATTGATCCAATTTAGGCTCCTTACGTCTGTTTTCTTTCCTTTTATAATTATTATGTTAATCATGGGGTGAATCTCTCCACAGTTAGTCGGTCCATTCAATATCTAATAATTTCAACCATCTCTGAAGCCATTAGGTCACAGTGATTTAATGAGGTTTGCAGATGTAAAACACAGATCTATAAATAAGATAATGTCTAATTAGTCAGCCTCGTTAAAGCTGAAAATGATTTACATTAACAATTTAATTTGTATGTAAGGGCACGTACAGCAAAGAAATGAAGAGCTGTATTTTATATGTGTGGAAAGGAAATAATGGTTGACAAGGGTCAAGGTGGAGGCTAGGAAATCAGTATTATTGCTTGAAGGGTTGTCAGTTTAAATTCCTACACTGGTTAGAAAATCTACATCTAGTATATCGTCTCTAGACTTTTAAATCTGATCTAATTAGGTTTAAACCATTTGACAAGCCCACAAGAACGCATGTGAGGTCAAATGCATGTATATGAGTTGGCTGTTGGCTCCATGACAGTGTAGAAGACAGCATGATTGGGTTCACGCTCAGTTAGTATGGGTTTGGCCACAGACAAAATGTCACTTGGAAAATGTCACTGCCTAAATGCCATTGCAGCTCAATGTGCCCGTGTGTGTGGGTGTGTGCATGCTCACACATACCCTCATAGCATACCAGGTGTCTACAAGCTATCCACAAACTTGGGGTTGCTTAGTTGGCAGCATCATCTCGTCTGGCAATGTAGTGATGTACTGATGGTTAAGTGTATTCCAAATTCACTGATGAATCTGCAGTGCTGTGCATATTGGCAGAGAAACACAACATCTGGCTTCAATTGACATCTTGTTGAGCTCATGTACTGCACATATCGGCATGCATTTTAAACTAGTATTCAGAAAGAATTGTTAATTTGTTGTCCATCTTTTCTGTAAGTGTTTTGATATGAGAATTTTGCTGTAGCACATGCTCTTTGGAACACTTTGAATTAGAAAATAGTTTAAATTAGTTTCTGTAGTATGTAATTATATATGTAATAATCTGACATACTGAAAGTGTTTTAGTGCGTAAAATTGATAGATTCCATTTGATAGCCAAGAGACACAATTTATTCACTCAGCTAGAGGTGGTGGTGGCCTAAAGATGAGAGAAATGGCTTGTGACCAAAAGGCTGCAATTTTGAATTTCTCAGACCAGCTGGGAAATTCTGGGCAAGTAAAGTGAATGTGTAAACACTCCTTATCTC